AGCAGAGAACATAATGCCTGGTATATAAAGTGGGGAGAGTTACCTGAAATGGCTGCTGCTCTGGGCTTGGGGAGAAGGAGTCTGATATCAGTCAGCAGGTGGTGAACAATTGCATTGTAGATCACTTATTTGTTTTCTTCTTCTTCTTCAATTTTTTTTATTTTTGTATTTTATTATATTTTCAATTATTAAACTGTTCTTATCACAACGTATGAATTTTACTCTGATCGTTCTCCCCATTGCACTGGATTGGAGGTAGAGAGAGGGGGTGGAGTTGATCAAGTGGTTGCTTTGTGCTTGATTTCCATCTGGCCATAAAGAACAACAGTCTTTTTGGCACCTGATCATGGACCCAAAAGGCTGATATAAGGGCAGGTCTGAAAGTGTGCTAAAGGAAAATTGTTATAAACATTCATTGTAGTACTTTAACAGTTGCTAGCTACAATGTGGACTTACTCGCTTTCACATTTGTGACATTTTGTCTGTATTGCACTAGTGATATTTTACTTGCAGTACTTGTTCTCTGTGGTGTATTTTGTAAGGTGGGACTATGATATCATGGTGTTGCTGGCCAGGACACCAATCAGGTATATGTACTCAGCATTGCAGTCACCTCTGTGCTTTGGGAGTTCTTTACTGTGAACAATTAATAATCTTAGTAATTTTTTCCTCAGAGGAACCACCTGTGGGGGAAACATCTTCCTATTGTTTTGTCCCTCTTTTTTTTTCCTTCCTTGCCCTCCAGGCTGATTACAGTAATCAAGAATATTTAAGATTTCAAATATCCTTTGACTACTTTGAAACCCAATTGGTCTTCTTATTGGGAGCCAGCATGTTGTTGCAAATGGTTCGAGTCCTCTTTAAGGTCAAATAAATAACTGAGAACCATACCCAGAGGTCTGCCCAAAAGCTGGACAGTTTGGAGAGGTGGGAAGGAGAGCTGAATTAAAATTTGTATGTTGAAATAAGAACAATTTGATAATTAAAAATAAAGTAAAATAATATAACGATAACAAAAAGGGGAAAAAGCAAGTGATGCACAATGCAATTGCTCACCACTTGCTGGCTGATGCCAGACTCCCCTTCTCAAACCCAGATTGGTGACTCGCCCCAGTTCAGGTACTGGGCAGGACATTCTATGGTGTGGAATATCCCTTCGGTCAGTTATGGTCACCTGTCCCTGCTATGCTCCCTCCCGGTTTGGGAGAGCATGAGGAAAGGAGGGAATAAAAAATCCTTGACTTTGGATAAACAGGACTTAGCAAAAACCAAAACATCAGTATGTTATCAACACCATTCTCATCCAAAACACAAGACTGTAACTGCTGCTGAAAAGAAATTAACTCTATCACAGCTGAAACCAGAATAGCATGATAAAAATATTGTGCTGAATCTCTGTACACAGTAGTAAAATTGAAGAGGAACTGCTGGATTGTTCCTTAATCTCTGTTGAATGCAGAGAAGCAATGAACTTAATTCATTTTGCATCTAATTATCAATTAAAGTCTAAAAATTGTTAAGCAAGATATGCAGAAAAAGCTATGCTTGCTTTTATGAAGCAATCTTAGGGACACTGCAAAGATGCATATGAAGTGGGAGACCACAGCTTTGGTGTACTGCTGCTTCATCCTCCAAAACACAATTAGTCTCCTGCAAGAGTGGAAGAGGGAAGAATAAGTTGCTGTGGTAGAAACAGAGAATGAAGCTAAGCACAAATACAGTGTTGCTGATTATTAGAAAAGACAGTTACATCTAGAAATGTACAAGGCAATTGTATTCAGGAAGATCTAAACCTGTGTGTGCAGTTTCACAGGCTAACAGCTGTGCTGCTCTTGCCCTTGTGCCTCATTTTGCTCTGTCCTTTTCCAAGCAAAATATTTGGGTTATGCAAACATGAAGCCAAAACACAGATCTGTTTTCCCTTGACATCTACCTTCCTTGCAATCAAGGTTAATTTCATGTCCTGATAGTACAGTGGAAATCAATGCAATGGAGGTACAGTCCCGGCAGAGGACAGAGCTGTGTCTTTCAGTGGCAATGGCGTTTTGTCTCTGTAGCACTTCTGGCTGGATATCAAGTGCCTGGAGAAGTCAGATATATCATACAAACAACTGGAAATGAACCATTTTACTGAGTTCACTTTGGAGTTTTGTCTTCTCTAGACATGTCACCCCTTTGAAAATAATCAGATGCAGACTTAAATTCATAGAATGCAGCAAAAATTTGCTGGGCAGAAACACTGCAGTCACATTCCTGTGACAAAGGATGGAAAATCTCAGGTGTCTTTAGAAAGCTGCCAGCAGTGCAATGACACCTCATTAGCAGAGGAGGCTACGCATTTCTAGATTATCATGGTAGTTCTAAATTATGTTGGTTTTCTGGGCATAAATATTCAGAGACTGCTGAGAGTTACAATAGTAGGCCTAGAATAGCCAGTGTAGGTTGAATCAACTTGAGAGAGAAATGTTTACATGAACAAGTATTGCTGGTACTGGGTAGTGGTGAGATCATTATGGGGAAAAGGTTGCAAAGAATTAGGATCTTGGAGAAGATTCAGTGTGTCTTTTCCGTGACCATGCTGAGGCTCTGACTGAGGCACAAGCATGTGCATACAGCATTATAGAATCATTAAAGTTGGAAAAGACCATTAAGACCATTGTTCTGCTGGACCCGAAATGAACTTTGCTTGAAACTTCGTAGAGGACACCTCCCCAAATGACCAAGAGTGACCACGAGAGACCCCAGAAGAAGCCCATGTTGCTATGATGACAAGTCATAAGGCTGTGCAAACTAAATGACTATGCATGAGGTAGGTGGTAACTAGGTATTGGATAGGCAGGTTTGTGTAAAATTTTGTGTATAAATTCTCTTTGTTTTCACTCCTTGGTGTACTTGATTTGTAGGAAAACTTCCACCTTGCACCCTCTGTACTATAAGCAATATCTCCTTTCTGGACCTAAACGTTTGTCTGTGTTCCTAAAATGTCAGAGTCCCAAAAATTTGGCAATACCAGCACCTCAATGTTCTTCTTGTTGTGAGGGGCCCAGAACTGGGCACATGACATGAGGCATGGCCTCACCATTGTCGAGTACAGAGGGACAATCACTGCCCTGATCCTGCTGGCCACACTACTGCTGATGTGGACCAGGATTTATTGTCCTTCCTGGCCACCTGGGCACATGCTGGCCAATGTTCAGCTGCTCTTGATCAGCACTCCCACATCCTTTTCTGACAGGCAGCTTTGCAGCCACTCAGTTCCAGCCTGCAGCACTGCCTGGGGTGTTGTGACCCAAAGGCATCACTCAGCACTTGGTCTTGTGGAACCTCACACAGTTTGCCTCAGTCCCTCGATCCAGGCTGTCCTGATCCCTCTAAAGAGCCTTCCTGCCCTATAGGTCAACACTCCCATCCAACTTGTTGTCATCTGTGAACTTGCTGGGTGTGGACTTTATCCTCTCATCCATCTAGATAGGTGATGAAGACATAAAACAGGGCCGGCCCAAATACTGACCCCTGGAGAACACCACTAGTGACCAGCTGCCTGCTGCATTTAACTCCATTCACCACAACTTTCTGGTCCCAGCCATCCAGCCAGTTCTTACCCAGCAAAGAGTTCACTCATAATCACCATGAGCTGACAGTTTCTCCAGGAGAATGCTGTGGGAGATGGTGTCAAAGGCCTTGCTGAAGTCTAGGTAGACAACATGCACAGCCTTTCCCTCATTCTCTAGTGGCGACACCTTGCTACAGAAGGATATTTGGTTAGTCTGGCAGGACCTGTCTTCCAGAAACCCATTCTGGCTGGGCCTGACATCCTCATTGTCCTGTCTTATGTTCAGAACAACCATTTTAGGCTGTAAGCTTAATTCCAACAACTTTCAAACAAGCCAGCAAAATAACAGCTGCCAAAAGTGAGAGGACTTATTTATGTGAGAGGTCACTGCTGAAATGGTGGTGAACAGCTCTGGGTGGAGAGATGCAGCAACACTGGCAGTTGGAACCTCACAGCTGCCTGTGGGCAGAACACATGTTTAGAACTCCATCTCTGTCAGTGTTCAAGACTAAGTTTGGTAGGGGTCTGAGTAACCTGATGTAGTGGGTGGCATCCTTCCCCAAAGTAGCGGGGTTAGAACTAGACCATATTTAAAGTCCCTTCCGATCGAAACTATTCTATGACTCTGTGAATTCCCTTTCTCCTCTGCTTCTCCCTGTTTTTCCCCCACTTCTTTTCTGCCTTTCCCCTCCTTTTTTCCTTTTTCTCTCCTTTTCCCCGTTTTTCCTCTTTTTCGTCTTTTCTTTTTTTTTCCTCTTATTCTACCTCCCTGTTTTTCCTCCCACTTCCCCCTCTTTTTTTCCTTCTCCCCTCCTTCCCCCCGTCCCACTTTATTTTTTGTTTCCTTTTCTTCCCTTTCATTTTTTTGGCCGTGCTGTAACCAGCAG